ACGTAGTTTTCCGCACAACATCCTGCGATCGGCTCGGATGACCGTAATTATTTCTTAAAAAATTAAATCAAGTTTTATGATATATAAACACTTAGACGTTGTATACGAACGCAAATTTTATCACTCTCCGTGTGATCTCCATCTTTTTTAAACACTTGAGTTTCTTTTTTTTTAATTTCCAAGAACTCGAAACCTAAAAAAATGTCGCCCTCTCCCAGAAATTTATATAATCACTTTGGTTAATTTAATTTGTTTACGCAAAAGTCAAGAGGAATGAAAAAAACTTTTTTATCTTGTTCAGGACCTGTCTCGAGTCGACGCGAAGCTCCCGCTTGAGCGTGTTTATCGATCGTAAAACTACAGGGTACTAATTCCGTGGATTCCTTCGATACTCGTCATGCTGGTCCCGGAGGGCAATTTGACATCCTGGGCCGGCAACTGGACAATGCGACTGCACCAGGTGTCTTGTAACAACAGTCTTCTGGACTGTCTCGCGGAATGCGAGGTCAATTTTACCGAATTCGATCACCTTTGCACGACGTTTGACCGAGGGACTGTCGTCTCCCCATTGACGACTCTGTTTTGCACACCCTGCGATTACGAGACCTGCAACGTCAACGTATCCCTGATCCTTAACAGTCTCGAGAGCATCGAGGGTGTTTTTTTATCGAGGATACCGACGAGGGACTGCAACGCTACGTTTTTTGAAGACGAAGTGAGTTTTTTTTTTTTTTTTCGACAATATCAAAAAAATGTCGAAGTTCATAGGTCGGGAGTTTAGGTGTGAAAAATTTAAATTTAAAGTTTAACTTACAGGAATTTGCAAATAGGAAGAGTCACGTCTCCTTCCTCCTAACCGTGGATTAAATATTCGAAAATAAACACAATATTCAAAGAACGCAATCTTTTTACTTCTCGAACAATGCAATTTTTTCTCATTTTCTAAACAAATGTAATAAAAATTCTAAATTTTGGAAAATACCCTTCGAGATCTAACAACCAGAGGTATATATATATAAATTTACTTAGATACGAGCATTTCTCTTTTCGCGAAGTGTAACAAAAAGTTTCTACATCTAAGAACGTCGACGTTAAAGATCTTCATCCTCTACGGGACGATATTTCAAGACCGAGAGGACGTTTAGAAATTGTCGCTTTTCGTTTTGACATCTCGAAAATTTCAGCCATTTGTCTCAGAGCTAGACGACGACGACGACGACGATAATGTTGCCAACCGACGATAAATATCGAAAAGGCGGTGGGGATGTTTTTTTTTTTTTTTGTTTTTTTTTTTAGATTTTCGAGTGTTCGTCAGCTACTGGAAATATTGGCGACGATCTGGCCGACGTGTCCTGCTCGAGGCGATCCAGAATCGGCGGAGACACGGAGACTAAAGCGCGTCGGTTGGATTGGAGCTTTTTGTTTGTCGCCGTATTCATAGTCGCCGGTGGACTGGGAAACATATTGGTTTGTCTCGCGATAGGATTGGACAGGAAGCTTCACAACGTGACGAACTACTTCCTGTTGTCGTTGGCCGTGGCCGATCTTCTCGTGAGTCTTTTTGTCATGCCACTGGGTGCCATACCAGGATTTTTAGGTAAGTTTATCGCATCTTGGACAAAAAAAACAAAAAAACGGAATTCTAACGCCCGATCTTTCGATTTTAAGAGGCGGAATAATTTATGCGCTTGCACTGAGTGCGTCGTAAAAATATCCTCGGATATTTTTGCAAACTTTCAAAAACATCAAATATACAGAAATCCCAAGTGAAACGGAATATATATATAGAAAGCGAAAATATTCGAACGGGGGTAAAGGGGAGAATTTTTCATCAAAACGGTCGCGAATAGCAAGAGAGTTCGTTGCGGCGGACGCAACGAGGCGGAAGTTGCGGAAGATCCTCTGCGTAGCGACGCGCGCTCTCGATCGGATTACGTTCGTAACATAATCCGAGCTTAAGACGTTGTGATACAAGCGCGGAAACAAGCGTGGAAACGGGAGACGAGAGTTTCGCGTCGGAAGGTCGTTGTGTTGTCCGTTTGCGCCGCCTTTTCCCGACACTTTTCGCAACGCCGCTGCTGCAAATTTCGCAGCGAAACCAAAACAAACTAGCTCCCGCGAGCTAATTAACAATTAAGCGGAACAGACGCAAGCGGGTTTAATTAACAACTAGGTCGAAAGATTATAACAATTAGGTCGAAAGAAGGCTCTCTCTCTCTCGTTATAAATGTTGTTCATTGTTATTTATAAAAAAAATCTTTCACGAGATCTTGCAAAATATAGTTGTTACGCGAAAGGGAAGATATCGCGGAAGGATATCCTTCCCCCTAAATTTCAAGAGCAATCGGTCGTTTCACCCTCCCTCTTCCTGTCTTTCCCGACTCTCGTTCTCCTTCTCGGAGAGGTAGCGCGACTTCCTCCGGAGTTTTCACGTCACGTGCCGCGCTTCATCCTTCACGTGGAACACGCCGACGACACGCCGAGCATTAACGGATTCATCGTCGCGACTCGTTTATCTCGTTTCTGAAGAAGAGACAGCATTTGCTCCACGACCTGGAAGGGAGTAATTTCCAGGCGCGCATTGGGGGTTCCGGGGAAACTTAAAATCTCCGGTCTTCCTCGTATACGAGACAACACACAACACACGCTATTCGATTTCATCAAGTCGTTAATATAAAGTTACGCCGAAACTACAGGCACTTCCATTTCCTTCTCTTTCATAGTTCGTTTGATTCTAATAACGTTGATATCGTCGAAATAAACGCGCGCGCTCGTATATTTCCGAGTTATATTTCTCGAAGGTTTTAAGTAAATACTATTTTGTTTTTTTTTTATTACACACACACGCAAACAGACATACTTCTAGTATGTCCGAGAATCAGATACTAAACTTGTTTCCCGTGTTAAGTATTTCAAAAATTTCTGTATCAAAAATAGTCGCTTTTTTTTTTAGCTCTTAATTAAAATGTCACGTATTACGCGGTTTTTTAGTAAACAAAAAAGGGTTTGTGCTTAAGTGATATTACCTCTAATCTTTCTCGGCGATATTACGCTTAATAATTCTTGATCGGATTACGGGGCGCCGTGATTATGGCGTTAATTAATTCGCGTTTCGACTGAAATTGCTGCGAGCAACGAAGCACACGCCGTATGGCCATTAAGTACTTTCGAGTGTCCAATCTACGTCGGCTCGATGACAGTCCGTGATTATCTCCGGTGTGTGACGCCAATTCATCATAAATCGTCTCTCCCCCCCCGAAATTTCCGTCCGAATATATCTCCCTTGAATTTTTTTACAAAAACATACTATATACAATTTACGCGACATTTAATCACCGACTCGTTTTTGTTTCAAGTCTCGTAAAATGTAATAATTGGAAATAATTGTGAAATAAAAATCGATTTACACAAAACAAAACGAGTTGTTAAAAACAACAGCACTTGTATTGCTCGATATTTTATTTGCGCGACAATATTTCGCGTGTACCGATTCATTATTTCACGTTTGTTTGAACGTCGCTCTCTAATGTGTTTAGTATTCAATTCAATTTTTTTATTATTTGTCACATTTTCATTTCGTTTACGCTTAATTAATCGTATAAAAACGCAAAGTCGAGGAGATATATCGCCGATGTCTGGTCTGTTGCCACGACGCGCCGAAATTGTTAGAAAGATGAAACTTGCGTTTTTTTCTTTTTTTTTTTTTTTTCGAACCAGTTGGCTCGTTATACCACGGAAGGGAGTGTAACTTGCGCGCAGTTCATCTCCGACGTTTTGTTTTCATTTTTGCGAGCACACCACCACCGAGCCGCCGCACGGTGTGTTAAAATGCATTACAAGCAGATGCGGTGCCGCGATATCCGTAACACAGCGAAATACATGTATGTACCGTATCTTGTTACGGAGAAATGCATCGGCGCGTGGCGAGGCAGAGCCTTTGTAGCTGAAAATTGGCAAATTCACTGCCTCCTCTCTCAGAATAATGCGAATTTCGTATTCAACGGCACTCGCGCCTTCGGGCGGGGAGTTTCTTCTTTTTTTTTTTTTTTGTATCACACAATTCCTTTTGCCGCATCCGCGAGAGAGCGCGCTTTCTTAAAAGAACGGTTTTCTTAATCTCTCTCTGCTTTCTCGTTAAAAAAAAAAAAAAAAGAGAGAGAAGAATGGCTTTTGCACAAAATTAAATATTAAACGAATTTTTTTACACTCGATCTTTTTCTCTCAATTGTTTTTTTTTCTTTTTATTTGTTTTCGTTCCGCGCTTCCTCGATTTTACTTTTCGAATTCCGTTTTCGTATGTATGTACTTATTGCGGCCGCATCCGCTCATCAGGCTCTGCTTTAATCTGTTACTAATGAAATTCCTCGCAACGTGTGTGTGGTTTCTAGAGAAGATCTTAATATAATGCAACTATGCAAATTTTTGGGTTACTATGCGTCCTCAGAATTTCTCGTCTTATATATAAATTTCTTTCAATGAGTGCAACGTACTAAGTTAAGACGGAAAAAAAAAATGATTAAATTAAACGTCTCTTTTTCGTGTAGTTTTTAATAAAATTAAAATATTTACCTGTACGTTTTGAAAGAGAGAAAATAATAATCGATAATAGCTCTCTTCTCTCTTTTACTTTCTTTAGGGTTTTGATTAAATATATATCGAGATGATATTTTTTTTATTATAGCGATATACGCGCGGATCAAATTTCAAATACTGCACGCGCGAAACATTTTTAGAGCGCGTGTGTATATAAAAGAAATTCGATATACTCTGAGAAAAAAAACATGATATATTTTTTTTCAAATCGAAAAAATTATATTTGAAACCGTATTGCGTGTTTTCTCTCTTTCACGCAATTATTATTTGACTGAATCACGAACCGGCTCAAATGAATGACTATAAACATTTCAATGTCAGAGACATATCAGCGGATTCTTCTAAGCGATTTCCGCTGATATCTTTGAAGAGGACAGAAATATCAGCGACTCGCGGAATTTTGCCCGCGCAAAGTGACGGTTTGTGTGTAAACGCGTTTCCGACATTTGACGTCGTTTGATGTGAAACCATTCACCGCATTCACGTGAGCGCATCATGCATATAACGTATCTACTACGCATATTATATTCGTGTGTAGTAACTGCGTTTCTCTTGTACTTATTTACTTAATTAATGAGAAACTTAGTTTGCATCTTTCCGTCGTCGTCGCATTTTCCACACACACACACACACACACACACACACACACACAAAGCGCTTTAACGAGAATAAAACTTCCGAGACCAGTATTACGGTTCATCTAAATCCTTTCTCACTGCGTTATCATTCTCATGAAAAAAAGAATAGCCCCGGCTAAAAGAAACCTTATGATTGCGGTTCTTAATTAATTCCCTTTTCCGTAAAATCTTGCGCGGATGAAATATTCAACAAAAATAAGAGAAAATAAATAATACGAATAATATACATATTTATATAGCACCATTAACGTAATTTTCGTTTAAATAAATTAATATTTACCGTTTAAATTACTTTTTTTTTAAATGTGCGTGATGTATTTCTAAAATTTTTCCACATGTCCGTTTTTTTGTGTATAATTGTCGATTTGAAAACGTAATCTTTTATGTTTTTGTAATTAAATCTTCAAAAATGTCAGTTTTTAATATACAGAGTATACATTTTGTAGGGTGTCTTACCCTAACTTGAGCATCCTAAATATCTCGCTCATTTTTTTTATGATAAGGGGATGCCGAAAAGGGTCATTACTCAGTTCGAGGAGACAAATACTGTAATAAACAAGAAAATTTGTTTCAAAGTTATATTTTTTAAGATTTCAAGGTCATTGTCATTTTTTTTTATCTGAAAGTACATATTTTTATTCTCGCGATATGATAGGCTAGGTCAAGAAAAATCCAAAAAGTTCTTGTTTGTTACAGTATTTGTCTCCTCGAACTGAACAATGACCCTTTTCGGCATCACCCTATCATAAAAAAATGAGCAAGATATTTAGGATGCTCAAGTTAGGCGGGACACCCTGTATATTGTCGCTGTACATTTTTGTAAATTGCGCGACCTGTAAAAGCAGCAAAATCATATCTTGCATCTAACTGTATGTCCTTGTCAAAATGTAATGTTGAACTTCACCTATTAATATGTGAAATTATAAATGAAAATTGACAAGTTTACACGCAAGAACGAAGGTCGATGTGGAAGTGTGTGTGTGTGTGATGTTCAATTTTCAAAGACACAAATCCAAGTCAATTTGGACGTAAGCTCTTTCAAAATTGCGTGTCGATTATATACGAGAGAAGGGATGTAGTAACGAGAACCCGCAGAGAGAGAGAGAGAGAGAGGGAGTAACATGACCTTTTAATGTTCCGACGATCGAATTATTCCTGGCTTTTTTGACTTTTCAGGATATTGGCCGTTTGGGGTGGTATGGTGCAACGTGTACGTGACGTGCGACGTGCTCGCGTGCTCGGCGAGCATAATGCACATGTGCTTCATCTCCCTAGGCCGTTACTTGGGCATTCGCAATCCGCTCAGAACACGTCACACGTCCACGAAACGAGTGGTGGGCTTCAAGATCGCCGCGGTCTGGTTGTTAGCCATGCTGGTCTCCAGCTCCATCACGGTGTTAGGTAAATTATCACCCCCCTCGATGGTGACGTGTATATCCAGTGTCGGTCCGGTCGAGAGTCCTCCAGTAGAGCAAACTCCAGCGATATGGACCGGCACACGACGTTTATCTCGTCGTGTAAAACGGAAGCGCGCGATGAGAAAGCGCGTGTCGGCAAACAATTCTCCTCTCTCATGACGGATACGTTCGAAATCGGAAATGGAAATTACATACGCCGCTTCGTATTTGCCCGCTTCGCGAGAATGTACACAATACACCATTTCTATACTTAGTCCGTATACGTTCCCCCCCCCCCGTATTTCGGGGAATAAGATCGACTCGCGATGTGATCGTGTGTGTATTATGTTTGACTTTAAATGCGAAAACTCGATCTTTCTCGCGAAAGCTGATGATGACTTTTTCGAAAATCTTCGTCTAGTTCGAATTTTTGACGATTATACTATATACGTACGAAAATGCGTAGAAAATTGAAAATCATCCGCGCGAAGCGCAATATATCCAACAAATCAATATATGGGAATTTCGCGAATTTGCGCAAGCAGCGGAGAACGGTCAGTTTGCGGCTGTGAGGCTTTCGCGAGATAAAGAGACGATCAGAAAGCTTTCAGCGTGCGAGGATGTAACGATGCTTTTATCGAAGTGAAGCGCGTTTATCAAAAGCGATATATATATATATTGGGCTATCGATGGCTATCGTTTCTGATCGATAATTGGCGAGCGGTCGCCTTCCACTTCGCTTATCTTCTTGTTATGCAAATAGCTCAATGGAAATTTAGACGAGTTATACAAATTTCGCAGGAAATTTACATAACAGCTACTTCCATTTTCTTGAGAAGCTTGCTCGTACAAAGTCAAATCGAGCTCGAATTCCGAGTACTTTCTTCGGAATAAATTTCGTTAATGCAATTCAAATCTAATTACTCGTTTTTTTTTTTTTTTTTTCTTTCTTTCCCCAAGAGAACGTACTCGATGTAGTTTTAATGCAATTCGTGGCGAATTTTTTAAGTAAGACGCGTTTCGTTCGGTTCGAAACATATTTAACAAAAGGAGATGTCGCGGGGAGAGATAAAATATTGGCGACTTGGCGGTCGCGAGCTGTGATCGAGAGCTTCGATCCGACAGTTCGATTACTCGGGAAAGAGGCGCGTGTGATGTAGGACCCCCGACTGTTTTTTTTTTTTTTTTTAGGTATAACCAACTCCGCGAATATCATGCCGCGACCGGGGGTGTGCGTTATCAACAATCGAATGTTCTTCGTGTTCGGATCCCTGGTCGCCTTCTACATTCCCATGATCGTCATGGTCACGACTTACGTGCTGACGGTCCAGTTGTTGCGCAAAAAGGCACAATTCGCGATCGAACATCCGGAAGGTTATTACTTTCGCCGACTGGGCGGAAGATACGCGTCTACGAAAACGCCGTCCTCGGCCTCGTCGTCGTCCACAACCGCAACCACCACAACGACCGCGGTACGATCATCCGCTTCGTTGGCGAAGCAAACCCGAACTTCCGTTTGCAACACCGAGAAGGAAAGGTAAAAACACAACGAGTAAATATTTACATTAAAAATTTATATACAGAAAATCCCTTGAAGCGGAAAAGAGTAAGTAAATACCAACATCTTTGCGAATTGAACAAACGGAATCTCTATCTTTCATTTCTGCGTCACTCCAAAAAAAAAAAAAACAAAAAAAAAACGCAAGTTAATATGCAATTTCTAATGACTACAAGATGAGGTTGCTACTGTGATATTCATTTTCACGATAGACAGCGGGGGATCGAACACATAATCTCTGTCACACAACTGCGGTGTATCCCACCTCTATAACGCGGCTTTATGCAAGGCAGATTCGCGCGTGCAACACCGCATATCAGCGCGACACAAGTCCATGCATCTTAAATCAAGCGTCGCGACGCTACACATCCGGTCCGAGGCCGCAAATTAATACAAACTGAATTTTCTTCATCAACATGTTAACTTTTCATCACAAGTTCTCCATTGACTTACGCAGCACCGCAATATATGACTATTATTATTGCTTCGACTTCGGATACTGATCGAAAGTAACGTACGAACGTGTTTTTTCTTCATTTTTCAAAGAGTTTGCAAACGCAACGTGTGAGTTTTTGAAATATTATGAAAATTTATATTAAAAATTATCTAGAAAACAATAATATTCGCTTTCATTAAACACAAACGTCGGAACGGAGGAAATGAATTTTAGGAGAATGTATCAAGTTTTGTTTTGATAATTGTGTCGGGGACAGTGACAAATGCGGAAGCGCGAGAAAGCCCTTGCCGCAATTGAAGTTAGCGGTAAACGGCGCCGGAAGCCCCGCCGCGGGATCTCCTCGGCCGAAGTCAAAAGTGGATCAGGCGACCCAAACGTCCGAGAACATGGGAAACACAGACACACGTAACTACAACCTGCGGCCCTTGAAATTGCAGCTGAACGTCACGCCGACGACTCTGAACTTCAAGTAAACTTTTCTCGAAAAAACCAAATAAAATTGCGTTTCGTAAAACTCTCCAAAATGAGATTTGAGATTAATATTCTTTAAGGATTTTTTAACGTGTCTTTGCAGATTTCTGACCGGGCGAACGAAGAAGAGATTCTTCGCCGCGAACGCGGTCGCGACCGAGCAAAAAGCTAGCAAGGTACTGGGGCTGGTTTTTTTTACCTTTGTGTTTTGCTGGGCGCCGTTTTTTCTGCTTAACATCTTCTTCGCGGCGTGTCCCACGTGCTTCGTGCCGGGACACGTGGTGGACACGTTCCTCTGGCTGGGCTACATGTCCTCGACAATCAATCCGATCATCTACACCATCTTCAACAAAACCTTTCGCGCCGCGTTCATTCGTTTACTGAAATGCAAATGCTCGAGGTATTATCTGTTGTTAACATTGTTAATTGTTAATATTTTTTTTTTTTGTTTTATCTGTGAAAATACAATTACTTTTTTTTTTCTTTCTTAGATCACCGAGACCTCTGAGGCATCGTTCGGTCACGGAAAGCGGCAGAGGGACGGTTGGGGGTTTGTGTACCACGAGCGCTCTTCCTCTCGCCATCAGTCTTCAGGGTACGCCGTTGCTAACCCCGACGTCGAACGCAACGACAACTCCGGCGTCGGGAAGCTCGTTTATGACGATGATGCATCGGACACCGAGCTCGCTGTATCGCGACACCTTCATGGTTCACGAGTGCGATCAAAGCGAACATTAAAATTCTTCGTTCAAAAACTTACGGAGAAGAGGGTTTCTAGACGAAAACCAGGCGATTTTTGGTTCCAAAGTTTTGATGTACATACACGATGTAAATACAGTTTATGTTCCACAAAAATAAAATTATAAACGTACGATAGTATCAAATTCGTGATACTTTGTGACTCGCGGAACCTGATTTCAAAATCGTCTAATTTTCATTAAAACCAACAACTAGTTAGCGATTACGTCATTCGCATCGTCAATACTCGTCAATTTTTTAAAGTTTTTATTGTAGGACAACAAATATCCAAGTTAGAAACGACACGCAACATGTGAGATGCGCAAAATAAAGTAATATACTATTACCGTTATTATTAAAAATATGAACTAATTGTTCTTGTTTTTGTTAATGTTCCCGTAGCAAATGTTATTTATTACTAATTTATTGTACTCACACGTTGGAACACAGCGAAATCTTAAATTTATCGAAGACCGCTCCTTTTTTTGACGCTCATCCGAACCATTGCTCCTACCGGAACAAAATGGCCGAGCGCAAGCGCGAGCGCGCGCAAATGTGCCCATCGACGCGATTGGTCGAACCTTGCCGAGAGACTTTCGTCGCGTTTCCATGAGTCAACAAAGTTGAGAGCGTACACAACGCGTCAATAAATCGCGGAATAGACGGGGGGCAAGCGGGGCGGTTGCTCGTGGCGCCAACGAGCGCCGTGCGAACTAACTAGTAGCAATCGGTTGTCCACAACTACGTCGTATCGATAATGTAACTGCTCTTCCTTCCTATTTTCTTCTCAAAACGTAAAAGTATTGGCCATTTACTTAATATTTAACATTGACAAATAACAGGTGTATATGTATATATGTGTTTAATAGATGGATCTATTAACGTCTCCGGTAAATGGAAGGAACGTATATTGTAAAAGTCTCGTTTAAAAAAAAATATATGTATATTTAATTATATA